GCATCTCCACTGGGGACAGAGAACATCTGGTCATTATCTTGTGGAAAACAACAGTCATCTTCATGAATCTCTCCTCCCCACTTCTTGTTCAAGCAAAATTATCCACACTCAGTTTGTTCCCACTTTAAAACCACCAATCTTACTGAATTTATGCCCCTATTTTCCTCCCTTGCTAATTCTCTCCTACACTAACCATGAAGAGATTAGCAAGAAAAATGTCTACTACATAAATTCTCCCCACCAAGTTTTTGTCCTGCTTTCAAATTTCAAGCACACCAACCCACTATGGTGTCCCTAAATGACGCTTCAGACTTGCCTCCTTGAAGGATGCAGGAGCTGTCTGTCACTGACTAAGACGGAACAAAGTCGACGCTGCCAAGCTCCCATTCTCCAGTGTTTCAGGTCCCTCTCCCTCTTCTCCTTCATTTCCAGTGCCTGCAGGAGCTTCTCAAACCGGAGGCACTTGGTAAGAAACTCAGGTTCATGTCCCTTCCCACCAGTAGAATCAGAATGTCTGAGGACTGAGTTCAAGAATCTTCATTTATACCAAACATTCCAGGTAGCTTGGAAGCAGGTGGCTAAGACCCACCTTTAAGGAACCCTGGACTAGAGACGAAACTCCAGGCCTCTGAGCAGATAACCGCATCAAGCAGCTGCCTGGTTCGTTAAGCCTTTAGGTTTCAGAGCAAAGTGTTTCAGGCCTCCGCCTGACCCTTAAATGGAACATCGGCAACACCACAGGTAAAACACTTCACCTTAATGACCTGAAAAGCATCACCATCTTCCTCTTCCAACCTCCCTTTTAGAAATAAGCTTTCCTCTGTCAGGCATCCGACCTGCGCTAAGTCTTCCACTGGAACTTGCAGTATTCAAAATACCTAGGAATTGCTGAATCGCTAGTTTTCGAAGATCTTGGTCCCAATTAATCGGCCATCAATGATCTTAGTTGGTATTTAAAAAAAGAAAAAGAAAAAGAACCTCAAATATTAAGAATCAAGTCGGTAGATGTTTCACATAAATCTGGTTATTTCTTCTTTCCTTCTCTGTCAGCTCTGTTGCAAGATTAGCACAGGACATTATTAGGATGTGGGGAGGTGGGAGTAGGGAGCAGAGATGACTTGATTAAGTATGGCAAGCACAGGTCGCCTCTGAATGATCTCCAAATCTCCTCTCATACCGTGAGCTGCACAGTTCAGAACTACAGACTAAACTCTGAGAAGGGTTTGTGCACAACTGAGAGAAGAGCAACGTTACCATATAGCTCCTAAATAAAAAAGCTAATTTTTAGATCTCTGAATTAGCTTGCTCCTGAAACTCCACTTTCAATACTGTTACCTACTGACTCAGTGGAGTTTATAATCTACTAACATCTGTAGGTAGGAACCAGTTAAGTGTGACATACCTCTCTCCTGGAAAACGAAAAGAAAACAAACCCTAAAATTTAAACTCCAACGTCTGATACAGACCACTGGAGAAAGGACAGAAACATTTAATTTCTTTGATCCCAGGTTACCTACTACCAGGCCACAGAGCGCCCAACCTGAGGGGTACACACGGCGTGTACTGATACACACCTGAGGACCAACCGCCGTACTCCCCACCACAGCCTCTGAGGTTGACTGAGTGTGCCTTTTCTTCCATTAGCATTGAACATACACACTCATCATCCAAGGAAGGAAAATAATTTATTTTGCCCAGGACACTTTTTAAAAGTAGCATTATGTAGACTGGGCCGTATTTTATACGTGAATGTGAGGAAAATCAAGCATGAGATATGAAAAGATTAATTTACCATCTGTATCTGATCTGGGAAACAGCATAAGACAACGGCAAAACCGAACGTGTTGCCAAAATTTGTACTGGAATCCATTTCAGCAGCTTTACAACTTGTTTGAGGCAAAAACAAAAAAACAAATCCCTAACATGTATTTAATAACTTGTAATAGAGTATTTATCAGTCTCATAAACTCAACAAAACTGGGTTGAATGATTACCTTATACAAGAGGGTAAGTTCTATGTTAGGGATACAGGCATAAATAATTCACATCCCCAAACACAAGGATTTCAAGGTCAATTAAGTCAGAGGGCTATTATCACAAGCCTAACAGCATACAATTCTCCTCCCCAGGAGTGATTTTTTTTTTGATACCAAAAGACAAATATTTTAGTGAAATACTAATATTAAAAAGAGGGAACTGAAAATTATTCCAGATTAAGGCTATATCACAATCCTTCAGGGTGTAACATTTGATGTAATCCTATGTGGTTTTCACTTGAATTACATAAATGCTATTTCCTAATCAAACATAACACATTATATGAATATGCACTTATTAGCCAAATTCATAATATTCAGAGCAACTCTGATTTAAACCATCATTTTCAATTTTTTTAAGCAGCAGGGGCAGGCCCACTTCCTTATAGTCTTTCAAACAAAACACTAAGAATAGAATTCTGATCTATCAACAAGATGAAAAGCTGCTGCTCTGCTTTCTGAAACAGAGGTTGAAAAGAGCCCAAACTCTTGTCTTTGTGTCCTGCGGTGACTGCCCAGCAGCCTCTTTAGAACCCTGGGACTCGGGGACCCCAGGGAAATTACTGGTTCCCGGACTTGGTGGGGTGATGCCCGCAGGTGTCAGTAACCATTAGGGACAACAGCAGGAGGCAAAGAAATCATAGCCTCTCTTCCAAACAGGACAGGAAAAACATCTGTTTTCCAAGCCCATCTCCAGTGAGGTACTCATTACCAGGATCTCCAAGAGACGGGACAAAGGAGTGTGGATTTGCACATGAACAGGTGCAGGTTGTCCTCACAGGTAACATGAGTGAATCACATTTATGAATACTTACACATTAAACACAGAAATTTTGATGTCTTAAGCTTATCAAGACAAAGGCATTTCACTATCTATTCTGAACTGAGCACTCTTCCTCAAACACACGGTAACAGTCACATTACTTGTGAAAAAATGGACCTTACCTTCCATCGGGGTTTACAGTCTTTAGGTCTCCAGTGACCTCCTGGCTCAATATCTAAATCCTTGGAGAAGAGTTGACGAATTTCATCAAAACTGACTTCACTTACATTGACATTGAGGAATCCCCCTGGAAGGTCAAAAATGTAAAGAACTTGTTTTAATAGGAAGTCAAACAACAATCCGCAGGGTGATGGCATCATGTAGTCGCTGGGACAGTACCATTTATTCCTGTTACCACCAAATAATTGTTAATACCAACTTTCAGTTTTACTCTGGATAATAAATTATATGATCACTCTACTATCTTTAAATCTGCCAGAGAAAATCAAAGTGTTTAAATTTTTTGCTTCTGAGTAATATGGTGAATATTACTCTCTGGGAGATGTTTGCGAGTCATTACAATGTAGGTTATCATGCCAATTTATGTAAGCATTTAAAAACTATTTTTAATTTCAAAGTAATCAACATGACAGGAGACATAAAAGCACAGTATATGAGTTAATCAAGCAGTTAGCTTGACTGGGAGCTGAATCCTAGCTTCTGCGTACTGAGGAAATTATTTAACTTCTCTGTGCCTCAGTTTCCTTATCTATAAAAAGAGATGATAACACCTGCTTCCCAGTGTGGTTGTATCCAGTAGATGAAACAGTGCCAGGCATAAAGGCACACGTTCAGTAAATTCAGCTACTATTATTATCATCTACTTTACTGATATTTTTTAAGAGAGAAAATTTGCAAATAGAATTCAACAAATTTATTCTGGGCACCTACCATGTACCTCCTTGATACGCAAAACTGAAAAACTATAAAATTCTAAGATGCTCCTGGCCTACTAGGCACTCACTCATCAAATGAACAAATACATGATATTCCTGGAAGTGTTTTTACTAATAGTTTTTCTGATGTATACCAAGGGAACAGGAATGACTCCTGAATGGGAAACCATTTCTATTAAACCAACTAAGAACTAACAGAACTAAGCTGTTTCACCTCCTCATCTCATGAAATACAAACCAACAAATATTGAGGTTTCTCATTGCAAGTCTTTTGAGCTCAGTGACCATGCTTCCATAGATACAGTCCGCTCTCCACATCCACGAGGTTGGCTGAAATGTGTGACGCAGAACCCACACATACGGGGCGGGCGGCGGGGTGGTCGCCTGGAAGGGACTTGGGCATCCTCAGATTTTGGTACTCTCCGGGGGCAGGGGGAATGGTCCTCAAACCAATTCCCTTCGGATGCCGAGGGATGACTGTTAAACACTCAGTTCCTCTCCCCAGGAGCCTCTCTCCTTTCCTCCTGCTACATTCTGTATTCTGTAAGGTTTCACAGCCACCTCTCTTCCTGTCCCCTTCCCTCATCCTAACTAGGCAGGAACCTCAGTGGCTTCCACTAAGCTCTGAGGCATGCTAGAGAGAAGTATTTCAAAATGCAAATGCCTTCACAGAGTGAACTAGGGGAAAAGCCTGCCATCTTCTAACGTCTGCCTGTTCGCCTGACAATGTTTGCTGTCTTTTATAACCAGATAACCCCACCTTTAGTGTGACAGATATGCAAAGTAACTCATCTTTGAAAAGTAAGGAATAGTCTAGGAACTTGCAGAGAAATGGTAAATCAAATGCAAGATCCATCAGTCAATGTAAGTACAGACTATCATGACTCGGCTGACAAAAATAGAATCTACCACTGTAATCAAACAAAATTCACACAAATAAATCCAATGCATTTAACGGTATGCATGATTACTCAAATGACAGTGATTAGGCTAAATAATAAGCAGTTCATATAAGTAACTGAAGTTGGTATTCTTATGTACGTTAAACTAATTTTTGGGGCCTTTTTTTTGCAGGTTTATAGCTTCAACAGCTGTCATCACCATTCCTGTCAGCAGTTTTCTTCAGTATCATTTGCAATTTAATTTTCATCTTGAACACACATGTGCTGGCAAATTAAGAAGCAGGCTTTACATCTTCCTCCTCAACGGACAGGGCCTCCCTTGTCCATCACTTACAATCCCTGATGCCCGAGGCACCCAAAGTTCACCTCCCTCCCTACTGTCCCCCCATTCACATTCCTCAGAGACCCTTAGTAGCTTTCCTATGTGCTTATCACCCTTTGTTCTGCAATCTTAGTATCGTACTGGGTGAAGGCCAAAGATGACCCAGTGGCATGACATTGTCACGCCAGGGTAATAGAACATCACTGTTTGGTGGGGCAGTGAAGGGGTGGGGGACAGGCATCACCACTGCTGGGAACAGTAAGAGTGTGATCAGGAAGAGAGAGAGAGTAAGAAAAATAAACACTAGTGAGTGGAGGTGGGGGTGGGATGAGTAAAACAACTTTTGTTTTTCTGAAAGACACCCACTTATTTCTGAGTTTCTGCCTATGCATTTTACCATGTGATAACTCTGCTCACACCCAGAGTCTAGACATTCAGATAAAGACTTGGGTTCAGGGATTCGTGCCATAAGGTCTTGCTCTGCCTTTCCCGGGGAAATGTTTATTAAAATAATCACTCAGAGCTAAGCCCATAAAAAGTTAGTGACCTATGCCTCAACCACCTTACAAGCAAGCAATAGGTGCTTGCCGTCCCACTTGCCATATCCTGCGCCCCTGTGACCTGGGACGGAGGACTGCCCTTCCCCTGACCCCCTCTGGGATCTATGAGTAAATCTTGTGACTCTGCTTCCTTTGCGTGAGTGTGCTGAAATTACACCTTCCATCAAAACGGCCCCCAGGGCTCCACTTCCCCAAAGTGGGAGCTCGGAAGCTGAGGGAGCTCCCTGCCGACCCTGTGTGGGTGACTAGTGCCCTTTTATTCTGCAGGTCATAACCTGCATGTTCTAAATTCAATGCACCAGCTCCATACAATGGGTGATGAGGAGGATGGGATGGTGGGTGCAGTGTGCACCTCGTTACAATGCCCTGGAGCTGCGAATGGCTAACTTCCTCCTTCAGATAGCTGGGTTTCTCTGGGAAGGACCCACTGCTTGCAGGTGGTGGGCGCAACTGCTCTGTGCTGCTGTGCTTTGCCGCTGCCAGGCTCTGCCGCGAATCCCCACCCTAAATTCTTGGTGCCGTAAAAGGTCAGACTCCCCTGCAGAGACTGGCCAGCAGAACCCCATCTGAAGTAGCTATGTTTCCCATTATTCTCTCAACAAGGTCTCCCTGCCTTGGTGTCGGATCTGGAGGTGATGGGCTGTAATCATGTATGAAAGTCTGGGTGCTGAGCCAAGGTGAGCTAACCTGGACGGTGGGGCTCTGTCTCCTTCCCCCAGGCAGGGCCAGGGGCGCGAGCTATGAGGTCCTGGGAGCCAAGGAGAGCACCAGCGAGGGTGGCCGGCTGCTGCTGGGCCCGCTGAGTTGGGTGGGGGCCGGGTGCTGAGCTTGGAGAGCTGACCTACATGGTGAGAAGGCAGCTCTACCAAGACCAGTGTGGCACCTGGGAGGCAAACACTGCGAGGGCAAGTGCATCATGTGTTGCTGAAAGTGGGACCCCAAACACATGGTACCAGCTCCTCCCAAGTCCCCAGAGGAGGTGGAAAAGCTACTGGAAGCTTGTAAGACTTCTGCCCCCGGCTCAGGCACTACTGAGCTCGGAGACACATCCACATGCCAGATCATGAATGCTACGTTCTTGGAGCTTGGGGGCTGTCCCAAACAATCCACTAACGCTGCACCGATGGATGTGGACCCTGACCCATCAGAGGCCAGCTGGGATGCCGTGGAGTGGGAGACGGCAGCATACAAGTCAGGGAAGCAGCAGCCTCTGTCTTGTTACTACCCATTGTACCAAAGCATCCAGCAATGACCATGCCACGACAGAAGTGCAAGGTTTTCTAGACAAATTCATCCAAAAGGAGAGGGAAAAGGGTGCTAACTGGCTCTTAGGGGTCTTTGGAACTGGTTCCCAGCATTGCTTACAGAGGTCGGGATGCGTCAGCAGGCAACACTGGCTAATTTGTTAAAAACCCCAAGGTATCAAGGACCCATTTGATCAGACATCCTGGAGGAGCCCCAGACTTGTCACCGTAACAAGGGTGGTTCTGCATACACGGAGCCACCAGGGCAGGAGACAAAATGAAAAAGGGCTGGGCTCTGAGGAAGAGACTCCTCCAAGCCCCCTGAGCCCACAAGGACAGAAGGAAGGAGCCCAACCTCCCTCACCAGGAGACCAGCAAGCTCTTGGTACTGGCAGCTCCGGGGATCAGCACCCCTGATGACAGTCTCCAGACAGCTGAACACACGTTAGAAGCCTTTGCTCAGGCCCTGCGGGCTCTTCAGGAAGACTGTGGTTCCTTCCCAAAGGGGAGATGCTCCAGCCGCGGCAACAGAGTCTGGGATCCCGCACCCTGACCTCTGGGAGGGATAGCTGCCACGCCCCTGCCCCCGGGACCCAGCAGTCACCCGAGCTTGTCCCTCCTCCGGGAGACAACCGCCTGTTCACCTAATTATCCATTGGGACACACATAATAGATGACCTTTTACTGCTCTGACACTGGAGCCCAGATTACAGTGCTTCTCCAGAACCCCTCCAAACATAAGTGAAGGACACCCTAGAAATTGCAAGGCCTAAGAGCCAGGAGAGCAGAAGGCACTCGGCTTCCACTGGACGGCACTATCGGAATAATCTTTCTTGAAAACCTTTGGCCCTACCCCTTCCTGGCACGGGATGGATACGCTGACCACATGGAGGATATGACCCACATGTGACCGCACGAAGCACAGCCCCAGTGGTCTTGGGTCTTGCAGATCAGCCATCTGGGGGTAACCTCAACTTCTTCCAGCTTCTCTGATCAAGCTCCAGGCCCCAGGGGCCGCCACACACATGCAGTTCTCCACACTGCACTCCTCCTCCTCCCCTCTCCAAGTCTCTGACTCTGTGCGGCCCCAAGTCCTGTCTGTCCACACTAATGCACTTCAGCCTCCCTGGGACCACCATCACATCACTGAACAGGGCCCCCAAACCATCTCTCTTTCTGCCCCCGTCCATCAAAAGCATGCAGTGTCCACCCCCATTATACTGCGAGTAGGTCTGCGACTATCCTCACGGGGAAGGAGGTGCCTCAAGAAGCCACCACACCGGGCATGAAAGAACAGACACTAAGGCAGACTCTAACCTGTGA